ACCAGGGGAGGGAGACGCCGTGAGGGGGAAAGGCCCTGATAGGGAGCCGAAGTTTGCAGCGACTGAATCCCCAAAGAACGTGAGTTACCTTTCACTGCAGCTTATTTTTCCCTTCTATTTCACATCTAAGGGTATAAATGATAAGCCTCCTGTAAGTGACAGGACTGCCAGGTATTATTTTTTAATGGGCATATACTATGCATATCATTCTAAAAATTGCTTAAAAACCCCGTTATTGAGGTATGACTGTGAAAATTACACTTAACACTTCATACATTGCAGGCACATTCCCATAGCAGTATATTTTGAGCTGCTTCAGTTCTTTTTAAATCCACACGCTGTGATTTATTTAACCAGACCCCCGTTGATGGACGTGCAGGCGGTTTATTGATCTCATTTGAATTAACAAGCGTGCATCAGCTGAGCGAGCGGCGTGGCAACAATGCCCATTCGTGTTGGGGCTGCAAAAATGCAGCGTTTTCTTCCCTTTCTCCCGACTCTGCATGGCTCTGGTCCCCACACTTCAGCCATCAGAGAAGTCATTGAACGATCCCAGAAGCGTTGGTCAGAAAAGTGCACCGCCCTCTTTTTCACCTCCCAGAGCGCTCTGGGAAGTCGGGCAGAGGCAGCTGGCCAGGCCACCCCCGTGCGAGGGACACTCTGGACTCTGGAACACAGACTGCGGGAAGTGTCCACTCTCCTTCAGCTCAGTCAGTCCCCACGTCGCACAGAAGGGCAGCCGGCGTGGGTCTCCGCCTTGTGGCAGCAGTGCAGCTGCGCGGCCCTTTGAAGAGAAGCTCCCTGCGTACCTGCGCAGCTCTGGGACACGACGGTGCAGAAAGGGCTTGGCTGTGTTCTCACCTAGCGTTTTAATCAGGACCCTTTAGACGGCAGGTGACAGAGACCCTGACGAGACTTAAGCAAAGCAGGAATCCATGGGCTCCTGCAAATGACAAGTCCGAGAACCTCAGCAACGCTGCATCCAGGCGTTTAATCGACACCATTAAGCCCCCCTCTCTCCCTCTCTTAGGGTCTTTGGCTTTGTTTTCTTGGCAGCTTTTCTCCATGTGATGCAAGATGCCCACCAGCTGCTACAATTTCATCTTTATCGCTCACAGTCTCTGAAGAAGAGAGTTTCCTGGGGGCTCCAGCAAGTCTCAGGGAAGACTGCTGTCGGCCTGCCTTGGGTCAGGTGTTTATCCTTGAGTCAATCATGGTGCCCGGGGTGGGCGGGGCCTGCTCTGGTTGGCCAGGCCTAGTTCGCGAGTCTCCCGCCTGGGCCAGTGGGGAGGCTGCCCCCCTGAGCCCCATGGACAGAGCAGGGTTAATGGGGCAGATGTGGCTTGTCAAAGAAAGGCTGAACTGACAAACAGGCCTCCGTTAGGGTTACACCTCTGTCTGTAGAGAGAATGCTTGTTATTTGGATGTGGAATTGGGTATGGCTGTGCTCCAAGCCGAGGGCTGTGCAGAGCAGTCAGACCCTGCTCAGACCTGCCTATGGTTCCCACTCATCCATCCAGCTCAGGCCAAAGCAGCATGGGGGTCGCCCCGCGAGGCCCGCAGCCCTGGCCCAGCCTCTCCCTGACCCTTGTGTGGGCGTCACAGATGGCACAGACGTTCTGCCAGTGATGGGACCTTAGGAAAGCAGCACAGTCTGAGCTCAGGCGGCTGGAGGTCAAACACTCAGCATTTTAGGATGCACGCAGCTCAAGGTCCTTCGTTCAGGGCTGGCCCTGGGGTCTACCCTTGACTCTCCCTACTCTCATGCAGTGTCGGGGCCTCTGCTGCCCTGGAAATACTGTCCCTTTGTCCTTGCTGTCTGGCCAGGGCCCAGGCCTGGCTTGCAGCCTCTCTGCTGGGGGTGGTATATATGTCTTCTGGCTACAGAGACATTCTTGGATTTGGGGGTGCTTGCTGTGTTGGGGGCTGGATTGATGGCAGTCAGGAAACTTGGGGGGTATTGGTGCTGGAACACAGCCTTCTGGGATAACCTGAGGGACACAGCCCAGCTTGGGTTTCTGAGGACATAGGCATAGAGATGGGGTGCCTGAGCCTCCAAGGGGTGACTGTCCCACCTGCCTCTCGTGGTGCAGTCTCTGCTGGCCCTGACCTGTCTCGTGTCCCTCCATGCTGGTCAGCCCGCTGGAATGCCCTCTCCTGCCGGTCAGCCAACACCCGTCCTTCACAGTCCAGCTGTGTGTGAGAAGCCCTTCGAAAATGTGAGAACCCTGCCGTTGCCAGCATGTGAAGACCTGCTGGAGCATGTGCTCCCTCCACGGCCAGCGCTGGCAGCTGGGACGGAGCCCCCGGGTTTCTCGGGGGCCTGGCAAGGCAGCGCTGCCGCAAGTGCCAAGGAGCTGACACCCACCCTCCTTCCCCAAAGCAGCTCCCAGCCAATGACTGACATGGGCGGGTGGATAAAAACATCAGCTCCTTTGTCTTGCCCTGGGTGGTGTCACTCTGTGGGGCACGGTTTGCAGCCTCCCAGAGTCTCCCTGGGGGGTGAACCTACAAGTGCCCGAGGCGGTAGCCTGCTTGTTCACACACACTCTGGGGCCTCCTCCCCACTCCCTCTTGCTTCACTCCACGAGGAGTGTTCCTGGCTCACCTGCTCTTATGGACTCCGTTGTGTTGCCCCAGATCCGCATGCTGAGGCCCTGCCCCCAGTGTGACTGCTCTCAGAGATGAGGTCTTCAGGGAGATAATGAAGGTTCAATGAGGCTCCAACATAACAGACTTGGTGTCCACAGGAGGAGAAAGAGACCAGAGATGCTTCCCCCCGGCACGCACGGAGGGGAGGCCCTGTGAGAACACGGTGAGACAGTCAACACGAGTCAGGAAGAGAGGTCTCGCCAGAAACAAACCCTCGTGGCAGCTCAGTCTTGGGTCTCTGGCCTCCAGAACTCTGAGAAAATAAAGAACTCTGTTGTTTGTTTCAACCACCCAGTCAGCAGCTTTATCATGGCAGGCTGAGCTGACTAATGCACCTGCCAACTAAGCTTCTTGCTCTTGAATACTTATCTAGGGGTCTGCTTCTCAGGAATCCAAGCAGGCAATCACCTTCGCTGGGTGCCGGGGAAATGCTAATGAAAACCATGATGTAATACCATTGTGTACCCACCGAATGGCTAAAGGGAAAAGGTTTGACTGCACCCGTGCTAGTGAGGATGTGAAGCTGTCATACAGCTGGCAGAAGTGTGAAATGATAAACCCTTCTGGAAACTTCTGGTCAGCATCTAACAAGGCAGAAGATGCATATAGTGTATGACCCAGCTATCCCACCCCTAAGTATATACCCAGCAGAAATACATACATGCACTCACTAACGGTCAGGTGCAAAAATGGTCACAGCAGTGCTGTTTTTAGTAGCTTCCAAACTGGAAACAGCCTGACTTCCATCAACAATAAAACCAACCAACAAACTGTGGTATGTTCATGCAGTGGGATACTATACAGCAACGAAAAGAACAAGCTCTGCTACATGTAACAACATGGATGAATGTCAGGAACACAATGTTGCAGAAAAGAGGCCAGATCCAAGAGAGTACATACCGTAAGATTCAGCTAGATAAAGTTCAAGAGCACAATATTCAAACAGAAAAGTGTACAAACCCTGAATGTCCAACTTGATGCATTTCCTAAGTGGAGAAGAGCACTCATATATCCTGCAGCCAGATCAAGAAGCAGAATGTGACCATGACCCCAGAAGCCTTGTCCTGACCCCTTCCACTGCCCACCAAGGGAAACCAGCTTACTGACTTACAGCACCATCCAAACTGCGTAGAAACGAACTATTATGACAGGAACCCTTTCATGTTATGCACTTTGTTTGTGAGAGCACCCATATTGCTCTGTGTAGTTGTAGTTCACTTTATTTACTCACTCTGCCATGGCTGGCCTTTTGGGGAGTTTCTGCTCTGGGACTACCCTAAATAGTGCTGCTGAGAACATTCTAGTACACATATTTTGGCAAATGTATCTGGGCGTTTCTCTGGGATATATACCTAGGAGAGTAATTGCTTATATACCCATTGCTTATTTTGATTTCATTTCATCAGCAGATGAAATGTTGTACTGATCCCCGCTCTGGATAATCAAGGAGGCCACTGGTTTCCTGTCCTTGTTGAAGACTCTAAGCCTTGGTTTCCCTCTGTGGCTGGGGCATGCCTGACTATCCCAGGCATCAGGAAGCTCTAAGAGTTTCACCAGGGAGTAGGAACTGTTTGTGGGTCCTTTGACCTCCTGGCCCAGGTGCAAACATTCCTGAGGCCAAAGGTATCCTAGGGGAATGCGGACTATAGGTCCAGCCCCAGCTGCCCCTGGGCCAGATACAGAAATAGGTCAATGGGTGTCTTGGGTGAAGAATAGGCCAGGCAGGTGAAGGCTGTGTGGACAGGGCGCAGCCCAGGCCCAGAGTCCCCTGGGCAGCAGGGGGCAGGGGCAGGAAGGTCCTGGACTACTTCGTGCTCACCTGAGCAGGGGCTGACCTGCTTCGCACCTGCCTAGTCTTCTCTGGGCTCCCATTTGTCAGCTGGGGATCAGAGTGGTTTCCTCACCAGAGAGAGGGCTGAAGAAGACTGAACATGCTTCTCTAGGGCCAGTGGGTCTTGTCAGCCCATTTCACAGCCCAGGAAGCTGAGGCTCAGAGAGGTTAAGAGGCTTCTTTGAGGATGTGAGCCCACATCTGTCTGGTTCTGAAGCCTGTGCTTTTTCTGCTTTGTGAATCTGCCCACCTCGGGGTAGACATGGCATCATTAGAGGGATGTAAGAAAGGCCAGCCCCCAAAGCCAAGCTATCTCTCTTCCAAAGCTTGGGTTTCCATCATCAGAACTTTATTCCCCTGGTTGGTAATGCCCTCTTTTGAAAGTGTGTAGAGATGAGAGGCAAGATAGTGCCACACCCAGTGTTTCATGTGCAGAGGACTTCCTGCCAGAACTGGAGAACGCGAGCCCTCAAAGGGATGCTAAGGTCGACTCATGCCCTCCCTCTGCCCCACCCAGGCCCTGTACCTTGATGAAGGGGAAACTGAGGCCCAGAGAAGGACATGAGTTGCTCAGACTCTCCTCCCGGACCTTACCTCAGGTAAGCTCCCTGCACTGCCTGGATGGACGGGCCCAGGCCAGAGGGGTTGAGTGGGAGAGGGCCGGTGGGGAGCCTTGGACTTTTTCAGAGGGCCAGCGGTCTGCCCGGGCGCCTGCAGGGGAGTTGTCTGAGGTATACTTCTGCAGAAGGGAGGAGGTGTGGGCGCAGTCAAGCCCAGAGATAAGCACTATTGCACTCACACCCACGCCCTTTCTCCCTCCAGTAAACAGCCTGAGCTGCTTCTGACCCTGCAGGGGTCTCATGGCCCCTGAGGTAGAGGCCCCTTTGGAACAAGGCTCTCTGGGCTGCCCAGGACTCACAACCGCACTGCAGCTGCCCCTGTTTGTGGATTGGGCTCTCGGCAACAGACTTGAACCAGGATTTGAGGGCATGGAGTTTATTTGCAAGGTAATTCCAGGAAACCATAAAGGATGTGGGAGGTGAGGTAGGCAAGTTAATGAGCAACAGGTGGGCAACGGGGGCTCCAGGAGATGCGGCATAGCCAGCCTGAGAGGTGCCCCACCACCAACCCGCTCTTCGAGATCGAGGGCTGTTCCTGCGGGCAGAGTCACAAACACCTGCTCGTGCCTGGGGCTGTGGGTGGGGCTCGTAAAAGAGGAAAGGAACCTGGAGCAGGCTCCAGAGTCCCAGCTCTGGGGCTGACTCACTTTCTCTGAGGGTCAGTTTCTGCATCAACAAAATGAGAATAAAAATATTGTTCACCTCCAAGGCGTGTGGTGAAGGTCAAGGACAATAAGACTTGTAAATGCGGGGCGGTGGTGCGGGTATCGGTGCAGATCAACAAATGGCGGTTTCCCCTTTCCAGGGCAAGGGGCGGCTGACTCACCCAGCTATCTGCTGTGCGTACCAAGCATTGGTGCTCCCAGAGCCCTTCCCGCTCCTTCCCTCTTTATCTGAAATTTTTTAAATCTAACAGTGAGTGATAGCTGAGCCACACCAGGTCAGGGTAGGCTCTGGGGACCCAGGAATGTCCTTACCCCGAGAGTTCACAGTCTGCTCAGGGAGACAGACGAATGTGCGGCCGGGCGGTGACACAGGCACGCACTCTGACGGGTGTGTAGAAGTTTGTGGGTCAGGCCTGGGGCCAGGAGGCAGGGCAGGCTGAGGGAGGAGCCAGAGGATCACTGTGGAGTGGGCTGGCTCCTCCCTCAGCCTGGTGTTCTGGGCACAGGAGGTAGGTGAGCAGAGAGAGGGGGACAGATGTCCGAGCTTGTATTTTCAGCTTCTAGGTCAGTGTGATGACCTCCAGGTTACGGATGAGGAAGTGGAGGCTGAGTGGGAGCGTGGCCTGTCTGGTCGCTGTCCAGCAGGGGCTGGCCAGAGCTCTGTCTGATACTCCCACAACCCCAGTCCCACTAGAGCCAGATTTGGGGGTCCCTGGGAGAAGGACAATAATCTCCCTGGATGTGGGGTGGGGATGGAGCTTAGGGGTGGGCAGCCCTGGAAACTGAGGCAAGGGTTCTCTGCCCTGGCTCCTCCCGCACCTTCCCTTTCTGACCCCTGAATACAGGAGCCCGCACTGCCCTCCCTGACCCTGGACAGCGCCCTGCTGGCCGGGGCTGGGAAATTCGCCACTTCCGGGTGTTTCGTTCAAGGTCCATGTGAGTACTGCATCTGTGATGTGTTTGTTCTTCAGATCGGTACGGTTTGTAATGACTTATTAATTACGAAGTGGCTGTTCTGCCTGTAAATAAAGCAAGACATTCAGAGGTTATACAGTGACAATGTCCCTCTCTTTGTTCCTCAGGGTGAGGAGGGGACAGAGGTCCAGGCGACATGGGGATGGGCCCCGGAGGGAATGTCAGTGTTCGCAGACCTCGAGGTGGCCCATCGGGGTGCAAGGGCACACTTGTGTGTGTTCACATCTGCAGGGTCACAGGACGATGTTTCCATACACAGCTCTGCCCCCACACACTGAAGTGCCTCTGGGCCCACATCTGTGTGTGCACACCAGGTACACACTCAATCTACATGTCTATAAACATCATGCACATGTTCTTGCACATACTCAGACACAAACACACAGCTCTGTGTGTATGCTCATGTCACTTGTGCACCCGAGCACCCCAATCATGGACTCGTATGTACATCCTGCAGGCACACATGAATCCTCACACATGCACACACATGTAGGCACATCTATGCACACACCTCTATGTAACCACAACTAGGCAAAGACTTCCACACTCAGGGGCTCTCACAGTCACATATGCTGGTGCATGTGAACATGCGCAGGACTGCGCACATGCATGGATTATGCATGAAAACCCATCACACAAGGCACAAACACGGAACAGGTTTTATGCATAGGTGTACCTCATGTGCATGTGCTCACACACTGTCTCATATTAGCCAGGTATCAAGCCTACCATGCTGCATCAGCGTCGTTGGGAGGGGGCCTCAGACGCCTGGCCCTGAGGGGGCATGGGCTTGCTCCTCTCTTCTGCCCTCCCTGCCCCTCCCCTGTCTCCAGTCTGCCACCTCCCAGTAGGAGCCCTCCTTTCACCTCAATGCGCATGGCCAGTGGAGCATATTCTGCACCTGCTCCCTGGGAGGGATCTCCCCAGCCTTGCAGCTGGGAACCTGGAGCCCTGAAGGGACAGCAGCCTGCCTGGGTCTATACAGCAAAGCCCCGGCAGAGGCGAGATCGCAAGATCCAAACGGCCAGTTTGGAGCACAGGCTGAGAGGGAAATGTGTGTGCCGCAGGCTCCACCTCTTCAAAACACCTGCAGATTCAGGTGCCAAACATCTCCCATCCCAAATGCTTTCCAATGACAATGCTGTCCCCTGAAGGGCCCTACTCAAAGGTGCATTCATTCAGAGACGGTGGAGTCAGCTGAGGATGAGCTGGCCAGCCCCTTCTCCATCCCTAAGTTTCCTGGGGGGCCAGCTGAAAGGCTGGGGGCAAATGTCAGCCACTGAGAGGCAGGTGAGGAGCCCAACAGGATCTAGATCCCAGCAGCACAGGAGGACGCTGAGGCGCCCTCTGACCAGCTGTGGACGGTTCGCCTGTGCCTCCAGGCCCCTCACCCTCATCAACCCGAGCAGCAGCAGGTATGTCTCTTCCGCACATTGGATGCCTCAGGAAGAACTGGTTTCTGCAACAGAGCAGCCGGTGCTGGAGGGGACGTGAGAAAGAGGCACCTGCTCACACCCAGCGGGTGCAGGAGTGCGCACTGGAACCTCATTTTCGGTCGAATATTTAACACGTGCATGTCCTTTGATCCAGCTGCTTCCCATCTAAAAGCCCATTCTCTCTGCCCTGGCTGGTGTAGCTCAGTGGATTGAGCGTGGGCTGCGAACCAAAGCATTGCAGGTTCGATTCCCAGTCAGGGCACGTGCCTGGGTTGCCGGCCATGGCCCCCAGCAACTGCACATTGATGTCTCTCTCTCTCTCTCTTTCTCCCTCCCTTCCCTCTCTAAAAATAAAAATTAAAAAAAAAACCCGTTCTCTGTGGACAGAGATGTAGAGACAGGGCGTTCGCCGCCGTGTGTGTGTGAAAGCGCTAGAGGGAGGACACCCCACGGCGTCAGCCAGTGGCTGGGTAGGTGAGTGAGGATCTGTCTGTGCCAGGGACCACGGTGCGGCTGTTCATACTAAGACTGCGATGGCTCCATTTATTATTTTAAATATCTTTTAAAAATTAGATACAGCCCTGACTGGTATGCCTTGGTTGGTTAGGTGTTGTCTCATAGGGCAAAAGGTCACCAGTTCAATTCCTGGTCGGATCACCTGCCAGGGTTGCAGCCGGTCCCTGGTTGGGCGCATGCGAGAGGCAACAAACTGATGCTTTTCTCACACAGTGATGTTTCTCTCCCTCTCTTTCACCTTCCCTCCCCCTCTCACTAAATAAATAAAATCTTTTTAAAATTAGGTATAAAACATATACCTGAATTCATAAAAAAGGGTGCCATAACCCACTCTGATAGTGCCTTAGAGTGGGTGACAATAATTAATTTTGATTCTAGATGCTCCTTGTATTTTTATTTTGTTTGTTTTTGAGCCACAAACTTTTGTGCAATTTATTGTCTTACTTTGTAATTTAAAAAGATTTCTTAATAAAACATTTGGATTTCTCTTAACAATCTGTAAAAAGCATTAAGATTTCTTGTCTCATTAGATGGAGGCCCTGAGGAGGGAGAGAGACCCACCCAAGGTCACAAGTGGCCTTGATTGCAGCTACAGCTCTGACCTTGACCCCACCCAAGGATCCTTCCCCTGCCTCCCAGGGGCAGAACACTGGGTCCAGGAAAGGAGCCACAGCCTGCTAGGCGGGGACAGGGACGGGTGGGGGAGTGGGTTCTGAGTGGCAGGCCGCTGAGGCTCGGCAGAGGGCGCAGGCCCACCCAGGCGTGGAGCGCCTTCCCTGGGTCGGGGAGTCTCACCTGTGTGCTGGGGTAGCAACTCTTCATCACTGAGCATCCTGACAGCCCTGTCCTAGCTTGGGGTCCTGCCTGGTAGACCTGGCTCCGCCATCTTCAGAAATGCTGCTGAGGAATGCCACCCTTGGCTAGGCGGCCAGTTGGCACAACGTCTGTGCCTCTTGCTATGGCTGCTGACCTGCACTGCCTTACTCTGACCAGGGAGATAGCACGGCCCAATGGCTAAAGTCATCATCTCTGACGCTAGACTCTTAGGGTAAAGCCCCCGACTGTCGCTCACTAGCTAAGTGACCTGGGAAGGATTACTTAACCTCCCTGGACCTTAGTCTCTTTGTCTGCATTATGGCTCAGCGGTATCTCCCCGCAGGGTTGTTGAGGGCTGACATAAAGAGCTTAGGCCACAAAGTGGAAACAACCCAAATGTCCTTCAGTGGATGCACAGATAAACAAAATGCGGTCTACCTCTGCAGTGGAGTTGTGTCCGGTCTCGGAGAGGAGTGACATATGGACATATACTGCAGCGTGGGTGGACCTTGAAGACATGGGGCTAAATGAGAGAGGACAGACACTGAAGGCCACACGGTGTGTGATTCCATTTATGGGAAGTGTCCAGAATAGGGAGATCCAAGGAGACAGATTGGACTGGTAGTTTCTAGAGGCCAGGGGTTATGGGGTGTGGGGAAAGACTGCTAAAGGATGCAGTATTTCTTCTTTTATTTTTTAAAGCTTTTTTATTTATTTATAGACACAGGGGAAGGGAGGGAGAGAGAAAGGGAGAGAAACATCAATGTGTGGTTGCCTCTTGCACACCCCCTACTGGGGACCTGACCTGTAACCCAGGTATGTTCCCTGACTGGGAATTGAACCATCAACCCTTGATTCGCTGTCTGGCACTCAATCCACTGAGCCACACCAGCCAGGGCAGGATACAGTATTTCTTTTTGGGGTAATAAAAATGTTCTGGAATTAGACAGTGATAATGGTTGTACAAATTCATAAATTGTACACTTTAAAAGAGTGAATTTTGCCCTGGCTGGTGTGGCTCAGTGGATTGAGCACCAGCCTGCAAACTAAAGGTGGCTGGTTCGTTTCCCAGTCAGGGCATCTGCCTGGGTTGTGGGCCAGGTCCCCAGTTGGGGGTGTGTGAGAGGCAACCGATTGATCTACCTCTCCACATTGATGTTTCTCTCCCTCCCTTCCCCTCTCTCTAAAAGTAAATAAATAAAATCTTTTTAAAAAGAGTGATTTTTATGGTGTGAATTGTATCTCAATAAAAATATGTAGCAAAAGAGAATTAGGGATGAATATGAAATTTATGTATAAATGTAGCACACACTGTTATTTTATTGGTGGGAAATTGAACAAAGTTAAATATACATTTGTTACCTCAAATGCATTATAGTACAGCCTTATGATGATATATTATGTAACTGTGAATAAAATCTTGTTTTGGAACATTTTTTTTAAATAAAATAAAATACTTAGGAGGGTGCCTGAGACATGAAGTTCCATCTGTGTGGAGATTTTTAAGAAATATATTTATTTATTTTTAGAGTGAGGGGAAAGGAGGGAGAGAGACATCAGTGTGAGGGAGAAACATCAGTTGGTGCCTCTGCCTCTCGCACATGCACTGGGGACCAAACCCGCAACCCAGGCATGTGCCCTGACCGGGAATTGAACTTGCAACCCTTCACTGTGTGGAATAATGCCCAGCCAACTGAGCCGCACTGGTCAGGATGCGGTGTGGGTTTTTATTAACGAACTTGGGTTGCTCCTCTCATCCCCCCAGGGTGGGCGAGGAAACGGAGGCCCCGAGAGGAGATGTGCCGCGGCTGCACAGCCCTGGCCTGCTGTCAGAGCCTCGGCTTTCGGACAGTCTGGGCCCCCATCCTGGCTCTGTCACTTTCTAGCTGTAGGACCCTGGTCCAGCCTGTCCCTGCACCACTCTGAGCCTCCCTTGTCCTCTGTGTCCCCCTGGGCAGGGGGGACAGGATCTGGAGGAGTCTCTGGGCTGCCCCGCTGGCAGCGCCATTACCGTGCCTCTGGGGCAGGGCGTAGGCGGAGACCCCAGGGAGCAGGAGCACTTCCTCCAGCTCCCCCAGCCTGGAGTGTGAGCCGCAGGCCCTGCCAGTGACCTGGGGCCCAGGGGAGAAGGGCCCCATGGGAAACTTGGGGAAGAAGCAATGCAAGCCGAGCTGAGGGGTGTGGCCTTTCCCCCAGCAGGTCCTCACCGCATTCAGGATCCTGCGTCCTTTTCTCAGTCTGCTATTCCTGAGAGAGGCACCCCACCTTCCTGGGGCCTTGGTTTCCCCTGCTGAGCCAGTCCAGCATGGCAGTTAGGACAGCATGCCCAAATCCCAGCTGCCCTGCCTATGCCTTATGGACAGGGAAGTTCGCCTCTCTGAGCCTCCGTGTCCTGGTCAGCAAAACGGAGAGAATAACCGTACCCACCTCAGTCGGTGGCGTTTGTAACAATTAGAGGAGTGAATACGACATGCTTTCAACGCAAAGCCGGGCACGCTGTAAGCGCTCAAGGCCTGTGGGCTGTTGCTATCACTGTTATATTATCATCACCTGTGAAGGGGCCGGAGGACACGTGCACACTGGAGCCGGGGGCTGGCCCCCGAGCCTCCTTTTCTCTGCTCCCTCCTGCTGTCCCCCTCACTGTCTTCAGTACTGAGTGATCGACAGGCTGGGCCGGTGGCATCCTGGCAGGCCTGTCCTGGCAGCTGCTCCCACAAGGCGAGGCCCTTGAGCTGCAGAGAATTAATTAGGCTGCATTCCTCATCCAGGGCTCTGGCGGGCCTGCACACGGCCCCCTTCCGAGCTGCTGAGGGCTCTTGGCTCAGGTCCTGGCAGGCGAGGTGAGGCCCACACTCTGCTCCCCCTCAGAGGGGCTGGGAGGGCCCTCCTGAGCTGGAAGTACTGGCTGGCTGTGGAAGGGACAGCGATAAGCCAGCAGCCCGAGGCCAGCTTCCGTCCTGGCTCTCCCCTGCTAGCTGCCTTCACTGGCTCCCCATCACTCAAGTTCAAATTCCTGGCATCAGATGCAATTCCCAACCTGGTTCCTGCCCATCAGGCCAGCTGCCTCTCTCCGGATTCTTCCATGATCTGGCCAGACATGCCTCACACCCTCCCCCAGCTGTGATACCCTTTCCCCCCACATCCCAGCATGTGCACACCCTCCCCGTACCCAAACGCTCCCTCCCCTCCCACCCCCACCTACTGGAAGGGCAGCCCATAAGGTACGCACTGCACCTCCTGTCCCTTTATTTCGCCCCGGCTGCCTTTCCTGCCAGCCTGTGAGACCCCTGAGGGCAGCGAGTGTGGTTTGCCTCCAAGACACGCAGCCTGCTGGAGGGCGCTCAGTGACACTCCCCCGGGAGACACCGTCAGAGGCTGTGCAGGGGGTCACAGCTGCCACGGATCTTTCTGTCCGTAGCCCCCTCCCCCCCACCAAGCGCTCAGCCTCGACCTGTTGCTCAGGAGGGCACTGCCGACAATTCCCGCCTGGCCCCTCCAGCCTCCCCCTGCCCCCTGCACCCCTTTCCCCTTCTGTTCCCTGAAAGGGGCTGAGAGCAGCTCCCTTCACCCCGTTCTCTCCGCTCTGCCGGGAACACTCACGCCCACCCTCCTCCTCTGCTTGACTGGTTCCCCCGAGCTTGGCCTTGATGTCACCTCCTTCAGGAAGCCACCCCGGGCTCCCCTACCCCGGGAGCTCTATCATAGGGTGCACGTACCCTATCAGAGAGACAGAAGAGCTTGTAAGTTTAAAGTCTGAGGCTGAAACCCCACCTCAGCGACACACTAGCTTTGTGACTGTGAGCCCTCCGGTTACCCCCTCTCTGAAACAGGGACAGCGAGGCCAGACCCCGCTGCAGGAGGCTGTGTGAGGAGCCGAGCGACTCATGTGCAGAAAGCATTTAGCGAGCGCTCCCCAGATGTTAGGGATTGTTTGAACCTTAACATTGAACCCTGCTTCCTGGAAGGACCCTCCTTTGACCTGGGTCGGCGGGGGGACGGGTGCAGGGCCTGTGCCTGTCTCGCTCACAAGAATCTCCAGAGCGATGACTGTCCATAACCGTGGAATAGATGGACGGCCGTGTTCTGATGACTTATTGCCCTGACAGGCAAATGACTTTTCTGAAGTGAAAGTCCAGTATTTTTACAAGGAATCCACAATTCCTTGAGGTTCTTTCCTGAGTGAGGGGGTGGGGGCGGAGGCGGCTAGGGAGGGAAGGGGCCCAGCGGCAGCCTGGGTGTGCATCAGGCCTGGGGGCCTGGACAGGGGCCCGAACTCCCTCTGACTCAGCCTCCGTCTGTGCATGGAACCCCAGTAAATCCGGGTCATTCTGTGCCCTCCTCTGGCCTAGCCTTGCCTGGTGTTCCCATCAAAAGGAACACAGATTTGGCTCAAAAAACCTTGATAAAAATCTGTTAAGCTTTTATGGGAAATTCAGGAAAAGGGGAGACTTTGTCCCACAAAATCCAGACAAGCCTCCTAAAATGTTGGCACCTTTCTTCCGAGGGTTCCCTTCCCCTTGGCAGCTGCTCCTCACAAATTTTCTCTTTCTTCCAAACTCCCCCACCTTCCTCACACATTCAGGCCCTAGCTACCTGGGATGTGGCCCAGAAGCAGGCCCAGACGCTGGGCGCCCGTGGCCCCCCGGCCCTGCAAACTCCTCACCTGAAGGAAGGCCAGAGGGGGACCCCCTTCAGTGCGGGCCCCCCAGAGGCCCCCACTTCCAGGGGACTGCACGGTTGCCTCGCCTCCACCTGCTTCCTGGGCCTCTTCTCCTCATGTTAATCATCTCTGTTTCTTAGTCATTTGGGTCGCTGATCTATGAACTCTGGCCAGAGCCACCGGGGCCGGTGCCAAGGGCAGCGAGTGCCTGCTTCCCTGGGCCTCCGACACACCCTCGGCCAGGCCGTCGTCATCCCTCTGCCAGGCTTCCATCGCACCTGCCGCCCTGGCGTCACCCCACCCTGCCGCCTTCCTGGCCACTGGCTGTTACTTTGGGCTTCCGGTGGGCACAGGGGCATTGTGAGTGGGCTGCTGGGTTGCCAGGCAGTGAGGTCCTCTTGCACCGGGCTCCGCTGAGGTTTGCGAGGTGTGCCCTGGCCCCTGGGCTATGATGGGAAGTGACTGGGAAGTGACAAAGCCACATCACACCAACCCTCCCACCCAGAATAGACCGTGGACGCCTGGGGGCTGGTCGTGACCTTGCTTCCCCGCCTCGCCTCCGGTCCCCTCATTCACTCCTGCTCTGTGGAACCCCCTGGTGGCCTATTTCCAAAGCCCAGCTCTGACCAGGTGCCCCGTGCTCACAGCCTTCTGTGGCTCCCCACGCCCCGCCCCCCCCAAGAGAAAGCCCCCGAGGCCTCTGGCTTCACTCAGGCTGCCCGCCTGCCCCCCACCCCGATCACCGTGCTCACGCCACATGGGGTGCTCTGTGGGAACCCCCGTTGTTGCTCTCGCTGCCATGCCCTCACCTTTCCTGGCCCGTCTATCTGGAGTAGCCTTCCTACTTTTTTCTGTTGATTTTAGTCTAACTCATCTTCTGAGGCTGTAGGCGTAGTCTTCGTCTAGGAGACTTTCTCCGACCATTCCTCTCCGTCCAACCCGCCCGCCCAGTCCCTCTCTGCGTTCAGGCCCTTTAGCCCTGCGCCTGCCCCGTGACTGACGGCCGGACAAGCAGCCTCTGCCTCTTGTCAGGCCCGCGGCTGAGCCCAGCACCGGACCTTGTCCATTTAGTGTTCGCATCAGCCCTGCGAGGTAGTCCTGCGTGGGACTATTTCCCATTTTACAAATTAAAAAAAAAACCCTGAGGCTCAGAAAGAGATATTTGTTCAAGGTCACATGCAGTGACAATCCATGAATTCAACCGATAAATATTTATTAAATACATACAAGCATTTGTACTACAGACTCTGAGTTCAAATCCTGATGCCACCACTTACTGCTGTGTGACCTTAGGCAAGTCGGCTGCCTTCTCTGTGCACCAGGTTCCTCATGTATAAAGCGGGACTCATAAAAATACCTATTTCCTGGGGTTGTTGTGAGGACGAAGTGCTTTACTCTGGGTAAAGTGCCAGCACACAGTAGGAGTTCAGTATGTCAACATGCGACTCTTCCATTAGGGGTCAGGGATGGCTTCATGGATGAGGCAGGATTAGAGCGGTGTATAAATAGTTATTTTTCAATTGCTGACTCAGGCCACTTCTAGCACAGGCCAACCAGGAGGAGAGGGAACCACCTGCTCACAGTGGGGTTTGGCAGAGAGGGAGGCTTTGGGGCCAGGTGGCTGTGAGCAGGGGTGGCCCTATAATTGCTGTTGCCCCTGGGACCCAGGTGGGCTTCTTCTTGAGCCTTGGTGGGATTGGCCAACCCAGTCTTAGAGCCTTAGGTTTCTTCGGTCAGAGGAGTGCTGACCCAGCTTTAGCAGGACCCCACCCAAGGCCCAAGGAGAGAGACAGGGCCAGGGCCAGGCTGTGGTTCCACCGCAGCACCGGTCACTGGCCCCAGGGCTGCGCACAGCTGTGGAATCCAACCAGCTGCAGCATCCGCCCCCCCACCCCCCACACGGTAGATTTGCTCTGGGCCTCCCAGCAGCCCCTGGTGGCACAGGGCTGCTGGAGCAGAAGTGGGCTTTGGCTCTCGCCAAGCCTACTCTTGGGAAAAGGCTGGCCATTGGTTCCTGGTCTGAGGGGAATGTAGGTCCTGGAATCCTGGATCTCAGAGCTGCAAATGCCAGTCCAGGCCCATCACAACATCACAGACAAACGTCCAGGGAGGGTGGGTTAGCAGCCAGAGATGCCTTGCAAGGGCACAAGGAGTAGAACCCAGGGCTCTGGCCACCTGCCCCAGGCCCCTTCCTCCCCTAGGCCCTTTCCCCTCCCTTCCCGCACCCTCCTAACTTCCAAGTGGCCCCTTTGCACGCAGCGCCTACCAGCCCTGCCTTGGCCAAGATGAAATACCAGAAAACCATTTCATTGTTTATTACAAACACAAGTTTGTAGGCAAATAATTGAGAGTCTAAAAAAATACAATAAATAACTGGAATTCTCAAAGTTCTTATAGCAAATAAGTTATATACAAACAGTGAAGCAGAACAGGCCCTTCTCACCAAGAGCGTCCCGAGGGTATGAGGGTACAAGGACTCCGGGGAGGGAGAGCTGGAGGGGACAGATGAGGGCGTCCAGGACACCGGCCACTGGGCAGACCCGTCCAGTGCTCAGGGCTGGCTCAGGTGTGAGCGTCCATCCCTGCGTGTCACTCCTGGTTTGCAGCCATCAGGCAGGACCCCTCTCGGGACGTGGCCTCCAGGCTAAGTTCTTTTCAGCAAGGATGTGGGACCAGAGCCAGGCCAGGAGGCTGCTCTGCAGCCCGGGAGCCGAAGGCTTTCCCGGGCAGTGCGACGTCTCGGAGCTGCCTGAGGGTGGCTCCCTCACCTGGGGAGGAGGCCGGAGCTCTGCCAGTCCCCGCAGGCGGGTTTCCTGGCCCAGGACACGGGTGGAGCGTCTCCCTGTCTGGGGAGCCTCTCTCTTCCCATCTCCACGCAGACTTTCTTCCCCAAGTCTCCGCGGCTCCCAACACTATCTCTTCCTCCGCCTGGGGTGTGTGGGCCTCGTCTCTCTTGTGGCCTCCTGCTGTCGCCTAGCAAAGCGTATCTTGGCAGAAGAAATGTCCCTGGAATCAAGAAGGGTCAGTTTAGCATCTTAGCAGATACGGACCACCCCAGAGTTCCCTGTGATAGGCAGCACTAATAGGGGTGACACCCCTTAATCACGGCCGCCCTGGGGTCAGAAGGTGGCCACCGACCCTGAAAACAAGATCTGTCCAACAACAACAGGCCAGATCAGGCCGAGAAGCTTCTTTGCCCACAGGGGCTTGGACAAAGCTGACGTTCAACATCCAATGCGGCCGGAATGACCGGACGGCCAAGAACAGCCCCGTGTTTATTGCCAGGACCTGCCTTCCCACTTCCGCTGCGTTGCTCATGCCCTTCCTTCCAGGCTGCTCCCTGCCCCTCACCCAGACTCCACCGACTACAGTTCCCACTGTTCAAGTTCCAGCTTACATGGGTCCAGACAAACAGGGGCCCTGGCTGCCCTATGAACCTGGCTGAGACCCTCGGGGGGACACATGTCATTCAGGCGGCCTTGTCCTGGCTCTAAGTGTCCTAGCCCGGAAGCCAGGAGGCTGGCTTCAGTTCTGCTGTGGGGACTCGGGCGAGGGTCGCAACCTCCCTGGGCCCCTTTCTGGGCCCAACAGATAAAACAGCCCCGCACTGTTGGAAGGGGGCGTGTATGTTGGCTGAGCAAGCCGTCTGCCCACTGCAGAGGGCCATGTGCTTACAAAGTCTTATCTGCTTTTTTCATCTTAAGACAGTTCCCGAGTGTGTGCTGGGTCCTGCCCGTCTCATTATCCTGCCTTTTCTCCTGTGTTTCTGCCTCCCCACAAAGACGGAGACCCCTGCGGAGCCAAGTGGGGTGGCGGAGGGCCCGGCACTGGCTGACTCCGAGGGCGTGGGGATAGGAAGGGCTGGCACCCCCGGAGCTCCCTCGGCGGGCCAGGCCCAACTCGAGGTGCTTCGTTATGTCAAGCCATCTGACCTCCCATCAACCCCACGACAAGGGTAGCGCTGTTGTCCTTGTTTCAAAATAGGAACTTAAAGCACGGAGAAGTTAAGTGACGAGCCCAGGTTCACAAAGCTTGTTTGTGGCAGGGCTTGGGTTCAAGTCAGGCACAGCTCAGAAGCTGCCCCTTAGCCACGCTGCTGCTTGGCCAGGTACGGGGTTTCTGTTCCTGAGTCAGTCTGGTCGGACAAACAGTCCTCCTGTGTGCCGACCCTCAAGCAGAGCCGTGCTGAGTTCACCACAGAGGGGATCCCGTCTGGGGTAAAGGGAGGGAGCGGCCTGGGCAACTGGCCCCTCTGGACCCCAGCACATGGGAGATGCTTGATAGAGAGAGGCACAGCCAGAACGAACGCCTGTGGTCCTTCCAGAGTCAAGAACCTCCAAACCCTCTAAGAAGTCTACTTCCCCGCCTGGTGGTAACGAGGAGCACAGCGGTTAAAAGCGCAGCCTCTGGAGTCAGCCAGACGCCAGATGCCAGACGCTGTGTGACCTTAGAGAAGTACCTTCTCCTCTCTGAGCCCCCGTTCTCTTAACTGCCCGCGGGGGACACAGTCCTGCCTCTTAGAGAAAACAACAGAAGCGTGAGAAAGTGTGCAGGGTGTACGAGAGGCACGCGGTCCGTGTGGTGGCCCTTACCTCAGCCGCTGGAGCAGCTCTCCTGCAGTGGTCCACGTCTTGTCAGCCTGGAGCGTGTCTGCAGAGGACCCAGTGCTTGGGGTTGCCTCTGTTTCATCCCTGAATGAACAGCATTGGAGACCAAGTGAGGGGCTGTCCAGGGCCCCCGACGCCACCTGGCTGCAGGCCCAGCCCGGCCCCCACCCTACCCTGACCTGCCCTCAGGAACAGATCCATTTCCACCCTGTGCACCTGGCATCCTTCCTCTCCCAGGAGGGGTGGAGAAAACTGAGCTACCGGGAATGCATTCTTAGCTTCAGAAAGACGCCACGGGGTGGCTGGCCTACTGAGAACCTGGCCACCTGCAGCTGATGTGGCTCTTTGCAGGGGAAATAGAGGCAGGGGTGGAGCCACAGCTCGAGTCTCAGAGGAGGAGTCTTCTCAAAAACCATCATGGGAATGCGAGGCCAGTTTCTGCTTTCCCCAAATGCTCCAAGTGGCGGAGGGAAAGAACAAAGCTTCCCACCCTTTTACCGATGGGAAAACTGAGGCCCAAAGAGTTAAGAGAATGGTAAAGGCCCCCAGCAACTCTGTGGTGGCCCTGGAATGGGGCCATGGCCTCCCGGTTCCAGGTGCCACTCCTCCACTAAGGAAGCTCCAAAGTCCCCTGTGCCTCAGGGCCGAATCTGAAGCCCCGTGGAACTGGGTCAGGCAGACCAAGGCTGAAGCCTAACTCTCCTTCTGACCTGCTATGTGGACCGACAGGGCAAGCCCCGTCCCCTTTTGGGGCCTGGGATGCCGCAGCTGTTACCTGGCGAGGATCCCTCCCGCCCAGGAGTGAGACATGGTGCTCTGAGAAGCCCCCAGAGCTGGGCAGTGGGAGGGATTCAGGGGTGACTGGCTCTCTGCAGGAAGGGACAATGCCCGTGGGCCCCTAGGACCCTGCTCCCCATCTCCCCATTCTCTCTGCTCTTCTGCTGGCCCCTCAGGTACCCTGCTGTCTAGGGCGGGTCCAGGCTGGCAGGCACCTGTGGCTCCTGCAGGCTGGGGGCCCACTTACCAGGGCCTTCGATGGCAGAAGGTGGCACAGGCAGGGTCTCTGGCACTGGAACATTCACAGCGTCCTGGCAGAGAGTGGCGCCGGCGCCTTGGCGGGTTTCCCAGGCCGTAAGGAGCTGTCTGTCTGTGGGCAGGCAGCCAGCAAGGTAGTGATGCAGGGTGGGGAGAGAGAGAGAGAGAGAGGGAAGAGGGAGAGGATTAGATAAGTCACTGCCACTGGCAAGCAGGAACTGTCCACACTGCCCACTGGGATGGACACAAATGCCACCAGGGTGGCAGCAAAAGGTGAGCAGCCCCTGACCTCCAGAAGTCCCACCACAGGCTCCTACCTAGGTGCCAGGTAACCCTGGACAAGACTGGAGACCCTTCCCCTTTCTGGGCCTCTGCCCCCCCACCCCAGTCCTCCCAGCCCCACCCCCTCTCAGACAGGAACTTGAGCTGATGGGACCAGGCAGTCCCCACAGCTTGCCCTGCAGGAGGGAGGAAATACCACCTCACAGAGTAAACACACAGGCTCACAGCTAAGCTGCCCCCTCCTGGTCCCCACTTGCCTGAGGGGTGACTTATATATCTTAGAGCGTTGGCTTAAAAATGGTGTGTGCGTGTGCGTGCATGTGTGTGAGACCGGGTGGGACCGATCGCAGATCAGAGTCTAGCCAAGGCGGGCCGAGGGCAGGGCAGGGGCCCTGTGGCCGGTTGGACCAGCACCTTCGGGTGCCAGGGCTAATTTTAGCTGGTGCGGTTGGAGTTGTAATGACTCCAGGTAGACCCGACAGGCAGGGACTGGCAGGGTTCCCACCCCGAGCGAGTGTTTGGATGCGGATTAGCTCCACACACGCTTACGTGCTGGGCTTCTCTTGCCTTTTGCAATTTGGGGATGGGAAAAAAAAAACACAAATGCACACAGAGACTTCAGCTCGAAGTATGCAGCGGCCCGGAGGCAGTGCGGGTGCAGACAGAACAGACAGCACAGGCTCCCACCCTGGCTCCGCCAGGTGACAAAGGGCAGGTTTCTCATCTGTCATTTGGGGACAACACCAGTACCTGCCTCAGGGGAGGATGGAGGGTTCATGAGATGATTGTGCACGAGCCGTGCTTGGCACAGGGCCTGGCGTGGCTGAGACATGGGCACTGTCATTAACTGTATTTTACTTAGAAGATGGTGCTGAGGTGGCATGGCAGAGCAGGCGTGAGCTCTGTGGTCCACCGGAGCTGGGACAGAGCTTCCACCTACCCCTTACTCCTTCCGGTGGGTATGATCTTGCAGAAAGCACCTGACCTCTCTGAGCCTCAGTGCCCTGATCTGGAAAATGGAGTCAGTGCTTTCCTCCCAGGCTGTTGTGAGCATTCTCACAAGACAGCCCTCTGTATTGCTCAGGCAGCCTCCATGTGTGAGTGGAAACAATAACTGTTAACTATTGATATTAGCCCAGTGCTCCCATCTGGAGGCCCAGGGAGAGCTGTATTGTGCCTGAGGTTCCCCAGCATGCCAGTAGCCCCCTGCCCCTGCCCCCACTCTTAGCAGCCCTGCCTTGAATCCCCGTGGTAGCTCACCCAGGAGTGTTCACCCAGATGATGTCCAGGTGGCAGAAGTAGACGCACTCCTTGTCAAGCCAGGAGCTGCAGGAGCAACGTCGAGGCCGCAGGTGGGAGCCTCGGGCACGGGGTGTGGGCACTGGCTGCTCCTGGGTGGCAGTGGCTTGGCCCTTGCCTGCGCGCACAGGAGGGAGAAAGAGGTGGAGAGGTGGGTCAGGACGCTTGGCACAGCTGGAACAGGAGAACCTGCCAGGCTCCTTCTCTTGCATAATGGAGGAAGTTGGTACTCTCACTGCTCAGGAGCTCCAGACCAGCTGGTACGCCTCAGCAGCCAGGTGGGAAGGGCCAGCTGCTGCCCCGCCAGCAGCACCTGCCTACTGGCAGAGCCCCCTGCTGCTGCCGCTGGGCTCCCGCCTTGTATGGCCCCAGCTGGCTCATGGGGCACCTCGGTCCCCGCGGGGAGACCCCGCTGAGCAGACCAGGGGGCTGCTGCAGCAGGCGAGGCCCTATGGCTCACCTTCGTGCAGGGCCACGAGCAGGGCCAGAGCGAGGGAGCACCAGGCAGTGGGCACAGCAACCATAGCGGCGGCGGAGTGCTGGGCTGGACTAGAGCAGAGAGAGTGCCTGTTGCCCGAGTCCTGCTGCGGAGCCCAGCTGAGCCGATAGCTCCTTGCCTCCGTGCCCGGGCTGCTTCTTATAACTACCAGGCACTTCCCCGCCCCTGCGGTCCAGCCCTACTGCACTGCACCGGCGGGCCCAGAGCCAGGGGCACCGCCCCCTCCTGGGGCGTCTAGCCCGGCCCAACCTCCACAGCCTGCCACAGTTGGGGGAGGGGGGCGGAGGGGGAAAGAAAGGCCCAGCTCCTCCCTCTCTGCTTGGAGCAACTCCCCAGTGCCGAGTTTCCCCTGCAACCCCTAAGAACTCTTCCCAGTCTCTAGGGACTTCCTCAAATCGCCCCCACAAAGTGCCGGAGAGCTCCTCCCCCACTCTCCCCATGGCTGCTCCCTGGGTCTCGCCCAAAGCTAAGAGTTTGAAAGGGCAGTGTGAGAAACACCTTCTCTCTCCTTGGAGAGACCCTGCTGTCCTGCCTGCCTACTGCCTGCCAAACGGAGGGTGCCCCTTCTATGGTGTAGCAGGGGAAAGGCCTGCTTTGTGGCCTCGGGCAAGTCAGAGCCCTCTCTGGGCCTGTTTTCCTTAGTGAAGGACACAGCCTGCCCCTGTCCTCTGACCAGCCTGGAGCCTGGGGCGGCCTCATCTCTACCTCACACAGAGGGCCCCTCTCCCCTCTCCAGGGCCTGGGCATAAGAATTCTGGTCCCTTCCAGAACCTTTTCAGCTGTGCGGCCATGGCCAAGGATGTCCCTCCTGGGCCTCAGTTTCCTCAGTTTTCTTGCAAAACAAAGCCAAAATGGGGGAGGGGAGGTCTGAATATGCTGGTTCACAGGCTCCACTGAGACTAAGAAGCAGGCTTCAGAGTCCTTTCCAGAAAGATGTCCCGTGGATGCCCACAGCATCTCTCGAAAGGTGTCCTGTCTTGGACATGGCAGGATGCCTTGGCTCACTTCAGTGGCTACATTCTGCAAAAAAGGCCAGGGGGTGGGGCACTCCCTGAGGGCTGGCTCTGCCCCTGCCCCTCTGCTGGCTCCGAGGCCCTCGCTGGAGACGAGAGCTGGGATGCGCTGTGCTGAGCTGAGCGGTTCCGGCAGTCGCCCTCTGTTCCTACCCAGGCCTGGCTCAGGGGCCACCTCTTTCTGCATCTCCTTAGGCCCCCTGTCTCCAGGCATAACAGGAAAAGCTCCCTCATTTCTTGGAATTCCCAGGGCCCGGGCTCTCGTGCCTGTCTGACGCATGACACTGAGCTTATCTCCCCAGCAATCGTGAGGTCCAGAACTCCAGAGGGGGCAGGGCCTGGAGGCATACACAGGAGCAGCTCTCTGAGTAAGTGTACTCGGAGGGGGCGGGGGGGGGGGTAGGGGGAGAGCGAGTGAATAAATGCCTGGCCTTGAACTGGGGAAACTGGGTCTGCGGGGACCCGGCTGCCCCATTTTCAGTTCCTGTGTGCAGGGACTGACTAAACTTTCGTCAATAGATATTTATGAAGGGGGAAATAAATGCCCACGAAGAAACAGTCAATCTTGCTTTTTTCGCAGACTTTTTTCGAGACTGTGTCCCGAGCATGTGTGTGTGTGTGTGTGTGCGTGTGATCCTGGTGGAGCAGAGCAGAATGGGAGGAAGGAGGGAGAGGCCTACCGGCTGGGCCAGGCGGCAGTGAAAGCTGGAACAGACAAACGCCCCTGGGCACCTACTGTGTGCTCAGAACACTTTCATTTCCTCTCCACCGCGAGGCCAGGAGGCAGCTGCTATCTTCTGGCCGTCAGCTCCACTGCCGCCCAGGAGGAAATGGAGCCCGGCCAAGGTCACACAGCTGGTAGGTGCAGAGACAGCTCTGGAACTCAGATCTCTGTCTGGGCAAACCAGGGGCTCCCCACAGAGTGCTCACTGCCTGCCCCACCCCCCACTGCCCCCCGCATGGTGCCTCTCGAAGAATTTAGAAGAGTATTTCTGGAATGAGGTGAGCAATACCCTCAGTCATTTCTATTAGCCTCCAAGAGAATATAAACACAGAATTAAGCAGGGTTAGGGTGCGGGGGGGTGGGAGTAGGAGGTGGAGAGAGAATTCAAACCCCTGAACTGTGAAGAGAAGAAAGAAGCAAAACAGATCATCAGGGAGAAGGCGGGGTCAGGGTGGGGAGGAAAACAAGCAGGGAGAGAGGGAGGACGAGGAAGCGGAGTGCAGCCAGAAAGAGCCTGGATCTGAGAAAGGAAAAGAGGAAGACCATCAGGACCAAGAGCAAAAGTTCTAATGTGTCTAATCTTTACACAAACGCGAAGGCCTGCTCAGGACAATAGGGAACCAGAGGCTCCGAGGCTGGGAAACCTGAGAGAAGAATTAAATGGACCAGGCGACAGGATCCCTCTCCCTCTCTGGTGTGAAAGGAGGATGACGACAGGGCAGGCAGGGCCGCCTGGCCTGGCAGGGTCAGTGTGGGGAGCTGTGCCAACGCCAGTTCCCTCCTTCCCTGCCCTGTGAGGGAGCTGGGCAAACAGGGCTCCTGGGAAATGGAGAGGCCTGGCCAGAGGAACCTGAGCGAGCCCGGGTCTTAGGGGTGAAAGCATTCCGGGAACAGCACTCCCCCACGTGCGAGGGTTGATTTCCAGGTGGAGAAAATGAAGTTGAGTTAAAAATAGCCAGTCCCAGCCCCTAAGAGCTCTTAGTCTGGGCCCTGACCTTCACCTCTGCCCCTCCTGGCTGCCTGACTGTACCCCTGTCCCCCCACAGCATTGCACTGGCCCCCTCCAGCTGCCCCTGCAGGCTGCCCTGCACCCTCTCCAGCCTGACCTGGCCCTGCTACCTGCCTGGGCTAGTAAAGCTGCGGGTCTCAGGGCAGGGATTCCCTGAAGGTCACCATCAGGATTGGGAGGGAATAGTTTTGAACACAAAGTAATTTGCTCCACTTCTGCTTGGTGTCGGCTAATCCCAGAGGGAGAGGTTTACGGGGAGGGCAGGCTGGCAGAAGAGGGCCATGGAGGTGCATTTCCGGGTGAGACACTGAGCTCGAAACTGCCCTCCGAAAATCCTGTCCAGTCCTCACTCCCATTTTCTGGGTGGCATAACTGCGGTCTGAGAGGAGGAGCGGCTGGCCAGCCCAGGAGCTCAGGAAAAATCACCGTGGTGATGTTGTCCCACGGGGCGGGCATGGGCTGCAGCAGGTGGCTGGTGCAGCAGGAGCAACAAACGTTTGCTGTTCATGCTGTTGGCCTTGGGCAAGTCTGGTTCCCTCCCTGGAAATTCTCCTGTCTTCCCACGGACCGTGAGGGGCATTCCCAGTGTTGACATCTACGACTCCCAGAATTCACCTGACCCAAGTTTAGAGCTCCCCAAATGTGGGCCCTACAGACTGCCGTGACTGTGACTCCCTGCTTGGGACCCTCTGCTTGCTCACCCCTGCAGAACCAGTCACTTCCGCCTTGCCGCCTGGCCCCTCCAGGTTTCAGGAAGTCCTGTTTGCAGCCCAGTTGGAAGGGACACAGTGTCTTGGTCACAGGCACATACCGTGTAGGCAGCCTAGTAGAGCGAGCAGCTGGGAAGATGGGGCTGGCCGGGGGGAGATGTCTGGATTCCCAGGGAACGGGGGTTCTAGGGCACGTTTGGCCCTTGAGCCAGCCTGGGTTGGGGATTTAGGAACTGAGGGGATTTAGACATTCTCATGATCACTTGTCCCCAAGTTATGTTCCCAAGGCTGTGGGTCAAGGATGCCCCGCTAAGGCCTGGGGCCACTTAGCCCCAGGGCCACTGTCTGGTGGGTGGCCTGGGCCTCCTGCCATCGGCCAGAGCTCACCCTGAGCCAGCAGGGCCTGCCACCGCCCACACCTTTGTCCCCACACTGGGTCTCCGCAAGGGCAGTCTTGGCCCTGAGGGACCAGCTCCCCTGGTCTCTATGGTTTCCCTCAGAGGACACCCCCTTATTAGTTGTCCTCTCCCCTCCACCTCAACCAGGTTGGAAAGATTTATATCCCCTGGGTAAACTGTACGTCTGAAGGAGTAATTCATGGGCTCTGCCTGCCAGTAATCTAAGGGTGATCAGCACAGGGTCAGCGAGGCCCGTGGAACTGCTGGAATTGCAGCCGAAAGCAGATATTGTTCAGTCCAAGTATCCTTGTCAAGAGGCCGTGTGAATCCTGCCGGAGTTTCTGAAAGAAGAAAACCGACCCAGGGACGCAGCACCCAGGATGGAAGTCTCTGAACCCCGAATTTTGAGTTGCCTCCAAAGCACAAGGGCCCAGTCGCCCACTTAGCCTTTCAGGGGTGTGGGGCCAACGCGCATTTCTTGAATAGTTACGATAGTCCAAGCTCTGTGCTAAGTGATTTACACACATTACCTTTATTAACTGTCACAACATACCGAGGGGTGGGTACCATAATTAGTTCCTATTTTATAAGTGAGGACACTGAGGCTCATGACTTGTCTGATGTCTCAGCTGAAGCCCTCACCCTGACCCCTGAGAGGCTCCGATGTGCTTCCTCAGCTCTCCAGCCTGTGGGGGGCCCTCTCGTAGCAACTGTTCTCCAGGACAGAAACAGGGGGAGACCTCTGTGCAGGCTGGGAAAGTGGGGAGCCCAGGAGCAGAGGTAGCTTCCCACCGGCATCTGCGGGGCCCTCACTTCCACAGCAGAAACAGCGTGTCACCGTGCCCACAAGGCCTGGCAGGCCGGGGCTGAGGCCTGGTTCCGGCCGTTATTAGGTACGGACAGCGCATTCTTGTTTCACCGCGGTCCACAGCAGACCTGGGAGACACACTAGGCCCCTGCGTCTCACTTCACAGAGGAAGTCTTTCCCGATAAGATTCCCACTTTACAGAGAAGGAAGTGAACTTGCTCAGGGTCACACAGGGAACAAGAGGCAGGGTTAGAACTTCTCCCTTCTACTCATCTGCTATGGCATCCACAGCCTACATCACACACAACCAGTGACCCTCCATCTGTCCATCATCCCTCCATCCATCCATCCATCCATCCATCATTTCAACTTCCCAGGTCCCCTTCCTTTCTCCCTTCCTTTCTCCCTTCCTTTCTCCCTTCCTTTCTCC